CCGTTCCGGGCCGAAAAACGGCTCCTTTCGGGCCGTTCGTGCTCGCGTTTCACGCGCCGGGGCAGGAGAAGCGGGGCTGAGCTTCCCTCCCCCGCTTTCTTCCCCCTCAGAGGGGTTCCTCTGGCTCATAGGGCTCATTTTTCTGCCCCAAATTCTCCCCAAAATTGAGCTCCGTGACGCCCACCCTCCTCCTTGCACACACAACTCCCACCCCCAGAAAAGAAGAGAGGCCCTCCAGCAGAAAAACCACCTTTCAGACACTTTATGTGGCTTATCTGGCCAAAGAAGGGGGCTTTGGCACTGTGGCTTGTCCTTACACGCTCACATCTTGCACAACCACAACACAAAAATTTTTGTACTAGTCAAAAAAAGAATCTGCAACAGCCCTCACCTTATATAATACACCATTGTAATTACTCTATACCTTAACCTATCTCTATTTTGTCTCATGGAGCAGTGATAGGGACCAACACGCAGCTGTGCCTATTAAAATGGCCAGGAAGATGCTTTTAAATCTGTGTTTCCTGGGTGTCCAGAGCTAATCCAAGGAACGTGCCTGTCCCTGAGTAGGCCCAGGGTGATTGAATCAGGATCACTAGAAGTAGCCCGAAGTCCAGGAGAGGACAGTTGCGGTCTAAGATTTAGGTGAATTGCACAATACAGAAAGCCAATCCCCCAACCCACAACTGTGTGTGGAGGCCATCAGAAAACAGAAATAATACACTGTGACAGATGGCCTTAGCCTTCCTGGCAAGTTTTTCATGTGCGTTTGAATGATAACTCAAACAGCTGCAGAAGTTGGCTCCCAGGCAGCACAAAGCCGACCAGCATAAGGCCAAATTTCAACTGTGCAAGAGCCAAGGCAAGTGCTCTTCAGAGCTCCAGAAGCCCGAGGAGCTTTCTAAAGCAGCACAGCTTCATGTTTAACACCTAAAATATAGGCGACTGCTTCAGTCACTATAGACAGGGGCAAGGAAGTCTCTCCCTTCCACCCCAAAAACTAGAAATAAACTTTTATGTGTCGACTGCTATCACCTTCTCCACCTCTATAGCAACGGGCAGCTGGTTGTCTTTTAAAGACACTCAAGATGCTTTTGCTGGTAAAGCAACATTTGGCACAGCAGTTACCCTTCTAGATTGAGAGAGATAGCATTTTAAGCAGAGTATACACAAACACCTTAAATGACTTTAGTTACTGCATTCTAAGCAATAATTAAATTAATAATTAAACGAGGGAAAGGCTGCCATGTTTTGGCATGCAAGGTGCAAAATTCAAATTGACCTCAGTTGTTTGTAAATAGTCATCACAGGAGAGGAGTTACACTTCAAATAGAAGACATGCAATTTAATTCCCTTGAAAAAGAGTTACAGAGGAGGCACCCTGGGATAAGCTGATTTAAACAAATTTTATTCAACTGTTTGGGGAAATGTATTGATATAAAAAAAGTCAAGAAATGAATTGACTTTCTTGAAGTCTGCTAATCCATCCAGGCACATTTATAAATTCACACAATACTTGGCAAGAGAATCCACACATTTCACTTAACCTGGACTATATTGTTTTTCAGAACTGTACAGAAAATATCTGTAGCCAACTTGCAACTAGTCTTATCAAGTTACTAGCCACATGTAACACGAATGCTTTGTGATAATAACCACGATGTACATTATTTATCTATTGTGATATATTAACCCAGTAGGCCCTGTGCAGTCAGTCACGGATTACACGGTTAACTTAAACAGGTTTGTAGTCAAGCTTGGACTCCAGCTTCTTGGAATCAGCCACTTTCCTTACAGCTTTCATGAAGTCTTCCTGAACTACAAAGTCATGATCAGCACGGATTGCAAACATACCTGAGAAAAAAGTAATTTAACAGCAAGAATAAGTGAGCATTACTTCCAGCAATCATACAGAGGAGAGAGCAAGGTTAAAGTTGCAAAGTGAAAAGGACCAAAATCACACAGTCTACATGTAGATGGGCAACTCTGGACCTTTCTTACCAAAACCTGTATGCCAGAGTAAGCTGCAATGAAGCCACTTTTTGTGCTAGGTGTTCACTGAAAGAAATACACTGATATAGATAACTACTTTTAACCATGCTGTGCCAATCAGTTTTCCAATGCAGGCAAACCTTGAATGGACAATGAATTTAGGAAGTGGAGAAAAAATACTACTCTCTACCCAGGTGCTAGGAGACATGGATGCTCCACAAAAAGGAAAACAAAGCAAAAATACTCTAGGCACTACTCTATCTGGTATCACAGGTATCACTATTTCTGGAATATATCTAGTTTACACAAGGCAGTCTGACAGATGGTATTAAATCTGAACTATAGGGCCTTTTTACATGTTACAGGACAGTGCCAAAACCCACCTAATTCTGCATGGATCCAGTTTGTATATGACAGGGCATTAGCAGGCACAATGTCACATGAATGCAGTGCTACTGCTCATATCTGGCAACCGATCTGTGCAGAATCAGCTGGACTGTTTGCACGCCTAGCTGGGTTAGCAGCAGACTTGATTCTTTATGTCCTCCCTCGAGGGCTATCAACAACTCTCTTATCCAGTTCTGCATGACTGTATAGGTCATATGGAGACTTAGAAAAAAAATAAATGAGATTTTGCCCAAGATTTTCCATCAAACTTCTGGGCATGTCACCATTTCTGCGGCTTATGCCGAACAGCCTAGACATGCATGACATGCTGCAAAGTAAGCAACTGTTGTAGTGGTCTAGACAGCAGCAAAATACTAGTATTTCCATGAAGTAAATGCTATTTAGACCTTGAAAAAAGGTGTCCCTGTAGCCTGGAGGGGAGAAAAAATAAAAATAAAAATAAACAGCATTGCTGAACAAGCAGTGTTCCAGCAAAACATTTTGAATGTTTGGATTTTAATGTATTAACAGAAATAACAGAGAAACAGGAACAGCTCAAATATTTGACATTAACAAAAACTTAGCACATCAAAATTAAGAATTAAGAAAATACCTGCTTCAGTACAGACATTTCTCAAGTCTGCTCCATTAAAGCCATCTGAAAGCTTCACAATTGCTTCATAATCTATTCATGAAATACAAACACCAATTAGATTTAAAAAATCATATTTCTAGCAAATCCAGCTAAAATACATTAGTGCAGTCATTTCAGTTAATTTGTCAGCCATATTATCCCTGTTATTAACACAGAAATGTAGCTCAGTCAAAAAGCTCATAGTATATAACGAGATTCCAAAGATGCTAAATTGCAGCTACAAATATCAACATGAGATGCAAGAAAAATCTACATCAAAGCAAAACTCTAATCATCATTTGGGTTCATCAGATAGAAAAAAAAAAAAAAGAACTTATCTTCAGATGGTAACTTGGTCCCTTTCTGTTTCCAAGAAAGGCAGCATTTTGCTATATTAAGACTGATTTTATATATATTATATATATACACATATATATAAATATTTACAATAAGATGTCTAGGGCTATAATTTCTGGAATTATTTAAAACAGTGTTTATAAAAAAACTCATGCAAATTCAGATTTTTTTTCAAGGATGCATATTATTTCTCAATTTGTATTCTACCTATTACAAGTATGTGAAATGTAATCTTATTTTCCATAAAATAACATCCTCAAAAAAGTCAACAGTCAACATCTATTGCCTGTGAAGTTTTTCTAAACAATTTACTTTCTCTTTGAAAGACTCAAGAAATTTGACAGAAAAGATTTTTTGTTGTTTTTTTACTTTTGGATTTTAAGAACCCCAAAACATCCAGAGATTAGAAATTGGGCCATCTCCCACTCATCTCCACTTCCAAGGAGGATATTAACTTATAACTAAGCCTCCCTGCAGTTGAAAAGGCAGAAAAAAATAAGCAAGGGGAGGACTAAGTGCTGTTAAATGATGCAAGGTTGGGTAGGTTTAGAGCCTCCTCAGCTCACATCAGTTCCACAGCAGGAGAATCGCATGCTGGAATCTGGAGCAGGTCATTACCTGAGGATTTTAATGCAATTCACTTCCCTTTCTTGCACCCCACGTTGCAGAATTAAATCATGCTAAATTTCCTTTCAGGATATCTGATTTTAGTAACAGAGCCTTCTCACATCACATTCAGGGAGGGAGCTAGTGCCCATCTTGCACCTGAGCATTGTACATGGTGCAAAGGAATAACCCTTGCCTGCTTTCATTCCAATGCCTCAAAATACAGGGAAAAGGGAGGAAGTCCTTTCCTTTACCTCCGGTTCAGGATTTGCTTTGGAGCTTCTTCTGTGTCTCAGTCTACAGGCTGCTGCACATCTGAGCCAACACGGCTGCCAGGAAAGGCAATGCTCATCCCTCCCCCAGCTCATTCCCATTCCTGGGCCGCCCTCCCTATGGAGCTGCAGCTGTTTCTGCAGACAGATGGCAAAGCAGATCAGTTCCACCACCCGCCTCGTGCTGCCCGGCTGCGTGAAGAGCCCGTGGCAGCAGAAGGGAAGGGGACACGCGGCTGGGAACGGGCAGGGTCTGGGGATCGTTACTGAGGAAAGAGCAGTCGAAATTATTAAAAGGCAAATCACAATCAGGGCTTGCTCAAGGAAGGCTTTGAAGCCTCCCTGTAAAGCTAAGATGACTGGTCAGCTCAGAGTGACATTGTCATTACTTGAACCTTGGCAGTTTTATCCGACAGGTACCTCTGCCCCTTGGAGCTCTCTACACCAGTGCCTGCCAAGAACCTCCCTGTATTAGACTTGGTTTTAAATGACAACAAGGTTTTCATTATGCCAGCCCCAGGCTTCTAGAAAGTTTCTCCATGGCTTTTTAAAGTTTCCTTCCTGTTGTCAGACTTATCTAGCTCCATGTTCTTTCCCCAAAATTCAATACAGATACATTAAAAAAAAAAAATCACAGAATTCAGAGGGAGGGGAAGGGGAGGAGCTGTGAGGCCAGGACAAGGTAGGGGTTAGAAGGGCATCAGAGTAGTTTTAACAACTCACCCTCTTCCCAATTTTACAAATAAATATATCCAGGCAGCTACCTACTTACCTATTTCACCATGTTTAGTGATAGGACCTGCATGAATCTTCAAAATATCTAATCTGGCTTGTTCATTTGGTAGATCAATATCTAGAAAGAATTACAGCTTTAATAAAAACAGATAACCACAATTCATCCACATAATATCCTCTTTCCAGCCACTGGGAAGAAGTAACTCACGGATTTTTCTATCCAATCTTCCAGGCCGCAGAAGTGCAGGATCCAGTGTGTCTGGTCTGTTAGTAGCCATGATCATTTTAACTCTGTGCAGAGTATCAAATCCATCCATTTGATTCAATAACTAGCAGAAAACAAATGTTGGCTCTTAAAAAAAATCAATACCCCTTAATGAGATCTACTACACTTATTTTCTGCATATATATTTACAATTATTTTATCTGCATATATACAGATAAATCAGAAACATAGCTGTAGACCTTTTAACAGAATGCCACAGCTCCCTTATACTGTATGAGCAATGTAGGAGAGCTCAAATATATGCAAAGTGCCTTGTCCTGGAAAACCACATTGAATAAAGCAGAGCTCAAGTGTGAAAGACTCAGATAAAACAGGAAGGCAGTGAAGACAGAGCGAGTACTAAAGCAGCCAGTGGTTGGCTGACACACTTGGAGTGTGTTGCACTGAGGCCAGGACGTTCAAATAAGACCTGAAGAACAGCCTCTAGAATACTAATACACATGGGAAGACATTTCATTGTGAGAATTCAAAGCACTTGCTCTTTGATCACAGTGATTCAATTCTGTATGCAAGGCAGACACATTCTTTTGAGCTGGGCAAGCCGTTTACAAACACAGGCTAAGGAAGTTTCTGATTAGCTTTAGACTTTTTTACCCACCACGCGTGCTTTGAAAATTATCTTCATAAACCTGGGTTTACCAGAGTAATCAGTAGCAAAACAAAAACACAGCACTCCCTCTGCTAGTTTTGAGATACGAACTGTTGCAGTTTTAAAATTTTGGAAAGAAAGTATCTTTGGGACTGAGAAAGAAGAGCTCTGCTTTTCCCCTTGAGAAAAGTTAAGGCCCTGCAAATATTTGAGGAAGATGCAGTAAACAGCAGCAAAGTCGGTTCAAGCAGGAGCAGAAAACGCGCAGCATTAATTTTATAAACTCTCAATTAGTCTGCAAGTTGAATTTATGACTGAACCAGCAAGCTTTCCAGCTACCTTTCCCAGAAGCATTATCTAGATAATTTAGCTGGACATAACTTAGGAACAGTTCTAGCATTCCAGACTGTAACATAACAATTTACATGCGGATTAATATTTAATATAGACTGCAGTGTAAGTAAACAAGAGTTCAGACATTCACCTCCATCAGAGTCCTCTGAATTTCTCTATCAGCTGAAGTGCCTTCAGAAAAACGGCGACCACCTACGGCATATCAAAACTTGTAAGTTAAATTCTTTTTTGCCTTCTCATAATTCTACATCAGAAGATAAATGCATAAACGCTTTTTAATCTAGTCAAAAATCCAAATCACATGCAAAGAGGCCTGGTTTAAGCTAGCTCTAACTGCCCCATAAGGAAATTGAATCACCTGCCTCATTCTGCTTCTTCTGGACAGACAAACACGCATGCTTTAGCTTTTTTGAGAAGACAGGTTGTAGCTTCACAGCTAATCTCAGCATTCAAAGAAGAGTAAGTATCCTTCTGACCATTAGCCTTACCAATGGCATCTATCTCATCCATGAAAATGATGCATGGCTGATGGTCTCTGGCATAATTGAACATCTCTCTGATCAGTCGAGCGCTTTCACCTATGTACTTGTCCACTATAGAACTAGACACCACCTTTTGGGAGACAGAAGATAAATGAGTGAAGAGACTGAGTCCAAGCAAAATAACTTTTACTGAAAAAAATGACTAAAAAGGAAAAAGGTAGTTACATTACCTTTAGGAAGTTACAATCAAGCTGGCTAGCAACAGCTCTGGCCAACAGTGTCTTCCCTGTACCTGCACACACAAGGGACTGAAGCTGTTTGAACTAGTAACCCAATCATTACACACTTATGAGATGACAACAAATATATAACTGCCTAGGAATTTCACTTCACAGCTGTCTGAAAGGTGTCTATGAGGGCCTGGGGTGGGGGAAGAGTTTGCACTGTCAGTTTTAGGTTCCTTTTACACCAAGATTCCTTCTGAAACCCACTGAGAAAGAAACACCACTTAGTTGCTCAGACTCCTCTCCAATGTTTTCTCCTGACATGGGGAACACTGCCTTGTTAAGCACCTGACTATTACCCTCAAGCCTACCCTCCAAGGGCACAAACCACAGCTGATGTAAGAGATATCCACAACACATCACTCACCAGGGGGGCCATACAGCAGGCAGCCTTTTGGAGGTATAATTCCCACACGCTGGAATAATTCTGGGTTTGTAAGTGGCAGTTCTATGACCTGAAAAAGAGAGGTGTAAATATAGCTTCCTTTTAAAAAGAGGTGAGCAGTTCTAGGAAGTTCATGGCACATGTGCAGATCTACTTTCCAGACACAGTTATTCTTATCTATCTAATTTTGGAAGAGAAACAGTTAAGTAATGTTATCAGACTGAGCTAATGGATCAAGGCACAATCCTGCCATTGTTCTTCAGATTTCAACTCTGCTACGGCTTGTTGCTTCCTATGCTTGCTGCTCAAAAGTATGTTTTTCCACTAGCCATAACAGAGCCACCCAGAACTAGCAGTTTCTGTGTAAAAATGAAGTATGGTTTGGTGGTTGTGCTTCTTAGCTATGCTCTCTCACCTTACTTCACAACACTCCTTTAGCCTAAAGGGTTAGCACGAGTTAAGTCTTCAGACACCCGCATGCCTGGGCAGGCTCACGCAGCACGCGCCACTGATGCCCAAACTAACAGAATTACTTTAGTATGAGCACAGCAGCATCCTGCAGTCACCCTGCTGCTTGCCACAAAGACGATTAAAAGGCTGAAAAAACATCTAAAAAACTCCTTAGAATTTATCTACTACAGGAAGATGTAACCTAACCTGGTAAAATATACAAAGCACTAATTTGGCAGTATCTTTAACAGCCTGTCTCATGATAGTTGGGGACTGACATCAATAAAACAATTATTTATGCCCTGAAAAACTTCATTCATTTTTAATACCTCTCTCAGCTCTCTGATTTGTTCTGACAACCCTCCAATCTCAGAATATGAGACATCCCCTGGATCTTCATGAGACATATTATAAACCAGTGGATCCACTTCCCTTGGCAAATATCTGGAATATGAAAAAAGCAGACATTTTTCATTCCGCAGACATATTTATACAGTTATTGCAGTAAATGTTAACAAAGTATGAATGTGATTTCTCCTCCTCCCACCTTAGAAGTAAGACAAATATGCTCGTTTAAAAAAAAAAAAATCCCAAACCTGGCAATCTTTTTCAGAACAAAAACAAACAAACAAAAACCTTCTAACCTCAACCATTCTGTGATTCTGTGAAAAACAAAACAAAAAAGAAAACAGGCGGAAAATAAACAAAAGCTTAAAAGTTGCTAAATATGGTGAGTTTTAACTGATAATTATTACTAAAAAGTAGTTAATTTCTTCTTTTTAAATAAGATATAGCGGGTTCATAAAGCTTCCTTCAAAATACTTGCCCTTACTTAGGTACTGCTGTGGAGACAGTATTTATAAAAATATTACTGATTATTCAAATATTTCTGTTAACGACAGCCATGAGCAGAAACTTACCTCATAATGGTCAGAGTGGTCATATCCAGAGCAACCCTCGTCCCAGGCTTCAGCTTACTTTTGTCAAGCTAGTCACAAAGAGATTTCTATTAGGAGTGGACTCAAAAGCACTGGTTTTAGCCAAGATGGGTACTGCAGCTTGCGTGCTTTCCTCAATCACACGAGAGGAGAAACGAGGCTGCCACGTTACATTCCAAGCAGCTAGTCTAGTAAATGCTGTACAACCTTCACCATCATTTTTGGGAATGCTTTAACTGGGAAAAATTCCTATTTTCCTAGTATAATTACTCCTGCTGCCAGTCAGATTAGTGAGATGCATCCTCTCCTCTGCTCCATATAGGAGAGAAGCAGCTAATTCAGAGCAAGATCTAAACAACCTTCCTTTAAGGACATATGGAACAGCCTGTCCATTGAGCCTGCAATTGCTACCCTTTACTCCATGGCCTTTTCACTTCCCAGCTATCAGAAAAGGGTGAATAGAAATTCACAACCTATTTTCTCAAGTCTTTCCTCATTTGTACATTTTAACATAGCCAGTTATACCCCATCTTCGAAGTCAACTGTTCCAGCTGGAATGTTATTCTTTTCATATCAGTGATTATTCCTTACCTGAGATG